TATGAATCCAAATTCTAATACATGAAACTGCAGATAATTGAATTTTGTGCATTCGGATTTATCTTCTATGAATTTGACAAAGTCAGAGGATGATAATTATAGTATAAATAATATGACAAGAAGTTTAACTTATGTCTAAAGATTCAATATGAAAAATTCTTAATTTTTCTTTTTATTTCTTTTTTAGTAAAAAAATAAAGATAAATTTGAATGTACCAATAAAATCAGTCAAACAAAAAGATATCGAAGGTTTATATCAAACAATTGATCAAGATCGAAAAATCCTTATTCGAGCTGCAATTGTTCGAACAATGAAACAACGAAAAACTTTAAAACATGCATTATTAACTCAAGAAGTTATTCATCAATTAAGTTCTCGTTTTCAACCTAAAATTCCTGTGATTAAAGTAAATTCTATTTTGATTCTATGAAAAAATTTAATTGCAACTGTTGTTTTTTTCTTTTTATTATAGAAATGTATTGAAACATTAATTGAAGAACAATGCCTTGAATGTCAATCAAATAAAAACGATGTATTGCATTACTTGGCTTAAGATAAATAATTAATTTATATTAAAAAAAAATATATATCGAAAATTTATTCATGAAAATATCCAATAAAAATTTTCTTCTTTTTATAGTATCATCAAATTATTTTCTATAAAGTGATAAACTGGAAAAAAAAATGAAAAATCTGGTATCATTTAAGATTAAAGTCAAATTTTGTCAACGTCTTTTTTTCTTTCTTCGCCTATGACAACAAGAAACTTCGTATTTTTTTTTCTGTTTTCTAATTTCTTATTTCTTTGTTTCTATTCATCTGTCTGGTTTACATAGTCGTTATTTCAACGCTCAACTTACAAAAAGAAAATCAGATGAATCTAATCATCTCATCAAGATTTTCTCATTGTTCATAATCGTTAAGAATATACAATTTATATCAGGGAAATACATTTATATTTATCCTATAGCCAGATTTATCTCTTGCTTTTTGTGTACTCAAAAAGTGAGTACACTACTAAAATCGGTCAGTGTGTCCGGCCGTCCGTCCGTTTATCCGATAACTTTCGAAAGGGGAGTCCGATCGCGATGAAATTTTCTACACAGTTCAGTCTTAACAATATCTCGGTCGAGTTCGAAGATGAGAAGGATTGGCCGAGCCGTTCCTGAGTTATTGCAAAAATACTCATTTTTCCCTGCACCTTCCCTATGGAAAGATCGACCCATCCCCACTTTCGTAAAAGACTTTTCCTATCATAGTCAACTAAAACCCCAACTATTATATACCATTCAATAGAGAATTTCACGAGCTACAAAATGGTATATAAAACATAAAGAAACAAGAAGGTTGGCTCATCTATCACAAAGATAATTAAAGAGAACTAGGTTATATTTTCGTCCACGATCTAATTGATCCACAAATAGAGCTCTATCTTCCGATCACAGTGATGATACTTCGAGGTTTTCTGAGATGGAGAACTCGAATCTGTATTCCACTTCCATCGAAATACTATTGGTTGACCAGTGACCAATAGAAATCAAGTTATAGGAAAAACGACTTTCTTAGGGTAAATCAAGGGGAAGAGTTCAAATTTGAGCTGTATTCGGTCCCAAGTCCTATTGGTTTGGCAATACTCAATAGAAATCAACAGTTTAGAGGGTAGGTTCCCCAGTATAATTTTGATGTCCACACGTTCTAGAACGACTCATCTGTCTCATTCACTTTTTGAAGTACACATAACTCTCGGATTTAAATCCGAAGTTTCCGCATTTATTTTTAAATGAAAACAGTTTCTTGCGACAATCGACTTAACATTATGTTGATATATCAGATAACTTATTTGGAAACTAATTGTCAAATTCTATCTAACTGATATTGACATATAATCTAAGATTTACGGTAGAACTTCTTGATCTTTTATATACAAAAAACAACTTCGAATTACTATTCATAAATGCATTAAGTTCTTTCTACAAATTGCAAAAATTAAAAATTTCATAAGTTATTTTTTTTTTCAAGTTTACATTTCATACGAATGGAAGCCTTTTGTAGCATATAAATAAACCAAATATCCGATTAATGACTTTATTTAGTAGATAAGATATCTAGTAGAAGTTGTTCAGTTATTCTTCGAATGACAAGATAAAACTGGACATCAATAAAATTAATAAAGCATCGAGATATTTGCATCGTTATAAGTACGCTTTATTTGATATTGCGTCACTCTGCAAAAGACAACGTTTGACTGACATTTCTCTAGGTAAAAACCTTTTTTCTCCATGTGTCATTCTGTTTTCATGAGTCAAGTCGCTCCATATTTGTCATTATTTCTTCTTCCCCGAAATTGACGTTCTTTATTTGTCATTTCATCATCACGCATTTACTCAAGAAAAGTGGATGAAACGAAGATTTGAGTTTATTCCATATAGTAAAAGGATCAGCAGGATTATATTTTGTAACATTGTGTAATGTTAAAATGTCGGCATAAATTTTAAAAAATCTATTGCTTTTATAAGTGAACTCAAATGTCTGCCTAAAATGATTCAATAATCAGTATTAATCGCACTCATCTCATTATTTTAGGAGTACATGAATCAAATACCTATTGACTGTTCTTTGATTCGTAGGAAATTTCCATGGTTGTGTTGGAAAATTCTAACCTAGCTTGTTGACTCATAATATCCACGCAAAGTTTCAAATAACCATGGATTCTTGACATTCTGATGATTGTTTTTTTTTCTGATGAAATCATTTGTATAAATGACATGTAATGATCGATAAATAGTGAATATCTTATTCAACAGGTAAGCCATATATCAAAACTGATGATTGAATGTAATCAACTACTGTTCAAGATGAATATGCATGATTTAGTTTAATTAAATCTCATGCTTATTATATTTTCAAGAATTAAAAATCAATTATATTTGATTTCAATCAATCGAATTCATTGGTATTTTCCGTGTTCATCATGAGAAATGTAAATGAAATTAAAGTTCTCGAGACAATTAATGCAAATAGTCTCAACATTTCTTTTTTAAACAATGAAATTACTTGATAATCAATGTGATGATTTCTTAAAGATTATACTTCTATGAATTGAAGTAAAGTATTTTCGCAATGTAATTTCAATCAATGATTATTTATATTGCGTAGGAAGTTGTAACCGATAGTCATTAAGTTTACGAAATAAGAAGAAAAATGAATTATTTTGTAGTTCACTTATTTGAGAGAATATATTAATGTCGGAAAAATCCTTTTCTTCACATATATTTACTCAGTGTCATACAATGTCATTCTCTTTGTATTAAGAAATTTTTTCTCTCAATGATGTCATCAAATTGATTTATTTTCCAACAAATGATTATTTCATTTTCTTTTCTATTGGCAATTTCCATAGGCATCATAGTGTCATATAAATCATGTCAATATACACCTGCACTTCTTCGTTTTTCGATAAAACAAACGAAATACCTGACTACAGCTAAACGATTATTTTAATATTAGTTATTATGGTAAGAAACAAACACATTCTTGACACGAAATATACTTGTCTCAAGTGTTTATTGGTATTACGAGATCCAGTGCAATTGAATACATGTGGACATCAACTATGCCAATCCTGTGTTGATAATCAACAATAGCAAATCATACTAGAAAATACCATTCATAGTTTTCTTTAGAACAACAATCATATGTCCAGAGTGTCAAACAGAAACACCACATTATCAAGTAATATATCTTCAGTTCCAACAACAGAACATAATGTTTTGTTGTTTATGTGCTACTTGATGAAGATTTCAAAAGTGGTATGCAATCACTAACTATCGATTGTTCCTTTTTGTCAGTAGACTGATGTCTTATATAATTATCAAGTAACATTTTTCTATGCTAACCTTATTCCTAAACATTCATTCAAATCTCAAATGTGAACATTTTGATGATTAGCTCAACTGCAGAACTTGTATAAAACACTGAATATCTTGACAGGTGGTATTGAGACATTAAATGATGATGGACAACGTCTCAGCAATGAATAACTTCAATGTCAAATTAAATTTCAAACTAGTGAAACATAATACAGGTATTCTTAACCAAGATTTAGCATCATTGAAAGAAAATATTAATAATATACAATATGTTTCACCTGGATGAAACATATTGCATATCTTTGTAAGAAAAATAATCAGTGATACGCAATATGTTTCATATGATGGAACATTTATATGGAAAACTGAAAAACTACCAAGAGAAAGTGGGTAAGTAGAAGATTTACTCATTCTCAGAGGTGAAGGCAGAATATGTTGCGAAAGAGCAAGTAAAAAATGGTTAGAATTGTGTGATATCAACCAAAAAAATGAGATTATAGCTGAATATCTTAACTGATAAAGGCTTATAATCATTGGAAAATGGAGCACACAAGTAGTAGATGGATGCGTAAGCTAATGAATCACTATGGGTATCCAACTCTCAGATTGTTTTTCATCACTAGTTGATGCACAATCTAAACGATAAACCCACATATGTTCACCATCACTTTATTCATCATCCACTGACTATAAAATGAGAGCTCGTTTTTGTGCTTATGCGAAGTCCGAATGATCCCATTCTCAAATTTCCATCCAACTATAAAGTCACGTTTTGTATACATCATCAAGCTCTGGCACAACAATATATCATCGATTCGTTTCGACTTGATGTCAAATGAAATAGTTTCCGACGGCCATGATTAAAAATCAGAGGCATAGCTTTGCCGCTATCCTCGATAATGATGTTTATTGAGCTATTTTCATCACTCTAGTCGTGTCTATATTACTATGAACACACACTTGTATAATACTTACACAAGAGAAGAGGAAGAGAAAGACACATTGTCAAAATCAACACTAAGAGAGAAGTCATACAAAGAAGAGAAGAGTAGGAGAGTGACGCGTAACGATCAGGTATTCATTACATCAAAGATTCGAGATGGCACAATGTTCATCAAAATAATGAATGATTTTGAACAACAACAATTCAAAAACGGTCTTTAGTTTAACAATACACTAGGTTTCCATGAGACCTGTAACTAATAAACAAATGTTTATGTATGTTTAATGCAGTTTTTCAATAAAGGTTTTCTTATTATGTCAGGTGTACATTGTGCTGAGAATACGAAAGAATTGTATTTCCAAAGTATTAATAATGTTTACTCTTTGATAATATGTCACATATAAATCAAGATTCGAATTTTTCAAAGCTATTTAGCACATCATAGATCTCATTTGATGACTTTCGCTAAAAGAAGAAAAAATCGAATTGGGTGTGGGTGGGTGTGAGATGTGGCTGTGGCTGTAGATGTACAGTATTATGCGCCATAACCACACCCACACCCTGCTATTTTCAATGGTGAAAACCGCAGCTTTCTACCATATTCCTATCAAAAGTTATTCAAAAAATACCCACCCGCCTTTTTTTTTGAAATGGACATTAATAGTTCAATACTCTGGAATTTCGCAAAAGAAGGGAAGAATAGATCATTTGAATAAGTTTCAAATGTTTTTTTTTACAATACTGTCTATGAATGAAGAATTTTTTACCATTAAAAACCAACATTACATCTGTTTACAATTAAGTGGTCTCAGTTTTGAATCTGACTCAATCTGACTCTTTTCATTCTATCCTTGAGTTTTTTTCCCATTCATCAAGACGTTTTATTTTAATTGACGGGCAAATTTAAACAGAGTTCTAAGAAGAACTTATAATAATAAAGTCTCTTCTGTTCGGATGTATTGACCGAACGTCTCAAAAAAAAAGAAATATGTCATATACAATTTTGTTAGTGATATATTATTAATAAACATCATTTGAATGATGTCCATAAATTAAGTTTCAATTTTACTTGTTGCCTTATTTTTCTTGAGCGACGGAACCGTTATAATTGACAATTATTCTTTGTTTGGTTTTGTATTTCTCAACGAACAGAAATCTGAAGTACGTATAAAAAAATCCACCCATTAAATAATAATATGCGCTTGTTGGATATTGAAAGAACTCTTTTCTTTTGCAAAAGAAACTCGGCAATAAACATCGTTATGTATGTTGTACTTTGAAGCATTTTAAATGTTTCACTGTGTCGAATTGGCCGATATCAACACAGTGAAACAAAAAATGCATCATCTTATCGGCAAGGAGAAAGCACAAAAGTGTTTTATCTCAATTAGTAAATATGACCAGATGAATAACAAAATGTTGACTTTTTATCTCCATCCTCTATGTAAAGTTTGCTTCAAAGAAAGATATACTCCAATTTAATGTTTATTGAGCGTGTGTGTGAGGCGGTGATGTTTTGATGAGAAAACGGATGGGTGTGGGTGTGGGTGTGGTATTTTCCTTTCTCATCAATCACACCCACACCCATAAATATTGACAGAATCGAAATATGGAGAAATGAGTCGACAAGTATATGTACCATTTACTAGTCAACTTGAAGTAGTAAAAGCTAGCATCAGATCTCGAAAAAATTCTCAAATTGTTTCAGACGAAAATCCATGACAATAAAAAGACGCACTAGATAAATATTTGAATCCATCGATTAAATAACCCATCATCAGTCTTGAGGTCATTTCAGCTATATATGAATGTGGGGTGTGGGGTGTGGGCGTAGGTGTGGGTGTGGATGTGAGGGTGTGGGTATAGGTGTCCGTGTGAGGTGTGAGGTGTGAGTATGGTGTCTGTATAGGTGTAGACGTGAGTGGGGTGTAACTGAGGATCTCTTGATTTGTTTACCCATATCCACATCGACATCCACACATACCCACCCTCGCACCCTATATTTGTAACTTAAAGTATATTCAATTTTTAAACTTTGCAAAAGACTTTTTCGCTGATAAATAAATTCAATTTGTTTGAAAAAATAAATTTTCATTTATATTTAAAACAAAATAGAGATTTACTGCGCAGGCCAACTTTACATTTAACGCCACACCACCCTTCAAAGTCGATTTTCAATACAGTGCATGGGATTTGCATGAAACTTTTTATATGTGTTCGACCCATCGAGTACATGTATAAAAAAAAATTTCATGGCCTCAAACGTTACCATTCGGAAGATTTTCAGGAACCAAGGTGCGAAATAGGGCTTTCACGCGTTCAAACTTGAGAGTGTGAATATGAGTGTGGATGTAGGTAAACAAATCAAGAGACTCACACCAACATCCCACACTCATGTCTACATCCATAGAGACACCATACCCACACCTTACACCGACACCCGCACCTACACCATCCCACATCCACACCTCACCCACATCTGCATGCCACCTATGCCCACACCCACATCCCGCTCATATTTTGTCCTTGGTATGAGGAATGAGTGTGGTACTCTTTTTTCATTCTGTTGGCGACATTACACGTCTTCTCAATCGAAAATATGAGTGTAAACAACAAAGAACTTCAGCAGTGCCATTTATTTTATTCTTATTCTTTCCAACTTTAGTTTACTTTTCATCTGTGGATTTTTTTCCTTTTCTGGCAAGCATTAAAATAAATCCGCAAAAACATCTTTGTTCCGACTTTTTTTTCATAAGGATGATAATAAATATCGTGATAATTCAAATGATACAAGAATAAAGATAAATTTATTTGTGAATGAAATAGCAATCGAAAAACAGTTTTCTCTTGTCAAGCATATTGCTGTTAATTACCTATTAGCTCAAGTTAAGAAAGCTTTCTAAAGGGTATGGGTGTGAGTGATATGAGTGTGGGTGTGTAGTGTGGGTGTGAACGTATTCTTCTTTTATCACCCACACTCACACCCGCACCCACACACCCAAATCTGTCACACTCAGGGAAAGTAAGGATGTTTAATTCTTTTCTATTGTTTTTTTCGGTTGACAAAGTTCTTTCCTGCTTCCGTCTTAACGATAAACTTTTGTGAAACAATTATACCGAACTCTTTTCTTAAGAATTTCTTCTAATAAATTTCTAGATAATATGCATCCCTCCATAAGTTGAAGTGATCAGTTTTTTTTTAATAAAATGTTCAAACCTTCTTCGGAGCATTTCTTCTATGAGATACGAATAGGCCATTTAAAGGAAAATTTCAATATCAAAACTATCGAAATTGAATTTTCAGTTAGATCGTTTGAAGTACTTATTAACCCACCGGTCGGAGAGAAACACGAATTATCGATTACTCTCTTTGGATGGCGAAGAGATTTAAAAGAAAAGTTTATCGTCGAAAAAAGTATAGATTTGTTACATATTAGATTATTTTTTCGCATTGAATGACCACGATCGATATAAATGCAACTTGCATACTATCAAAATAAGTTATATGGTTTCTTTTCTGTCTCTTCAAAAAGATGTTCGCATTGAAAATAATAATATGGAAATGAGTATAGAATAATTAGTTTTTCTCTATTCAGAGTTTTAATTATTTGCATCAAATAAACGAAGCCAAATGTGTGCATTTTACTTTTTCAAAAGGGTAAAAAAATAGCTTTTTTCTTTTTAAAATACGAATTTCGATGGCTACAAAAGAAACAACATACAGTTGGAAAGTATTTGTTTAGTTTGTGCACAGACGATGTTATTCTCCGGCGATGCAACAAAGCGTTCAATTAAAGTCCAGAAAATTCGTCGTCAGCATTCTTCTATAATAGAAAGAAAAAGACGAGCTAATAATGTTATTCATGTAACCATTCGACCTTCGAACAGTGCAACATTGGCCAACAAAGATTCAGACAATCGTCATGAAAACTTATCTTCTGTTAGTCATTTTTGTTTCTAATTCAACACAGATTTATTTCCTTATATTCGAGTTCGAATCACTGAAAAATGTAATCAATGATCTCATTCAATTTATTTTTCATTGCAGTTAAATGGATATTTTATTCGTTCGACTGAGAACTTTCAACAAAAGAATGATTTTTTCAAAACAAATACTAACAAAAGTCAATTTGTTCAGAGAAACATTTTAACAACTGGATTATCTACATCATCATTATCCACAATAACTCCTGTTACAGTACTAGTAAATTCCTTATGAAACAAAATCAATACAATATCATTTTATTTCTCTAGGAAAGTAATTCCGATACTCAATTTCGTACTCAAGTAAGAGAATCAATTTGGTATTGGTTTTACAATATTCCATTCTTTAAATGAGAATAGATCACGGGAGTCAAATCCGATCAGCGAGGTGCTACAGAAAATTATCATAAAGATCAAAAGAAATCAAAGACATATAACAGGCGATTATTTTTTTCTGTCTTTATTTGTTTCTTGATGATTCTTTTTTGAAGATGGAGAGCAGTATGGTTGATCTTTAGTTGTGCATTACCTTGTTTAATGCTTACAATTGCTACTGCCATAGCCGTTCCAATTCTTCTCATCCAAACAGCAACCGGGACGGTACAAGGTAAATAACAGCATATCTTTGTTTATTTATATAATTGTTTATGTGATCCAAAATCTTTCATAGATGAATTGATTTTTCTTTCAGTCAGAAATATCTGACAGAATGATGTTGTGCTGCAAAATTTCATACTTTTATTATTATCAAATCGGAAACGCCATCTTTTAATGAAATGTCTAGATGAAGCATACGTTCAGCCTTGCCGACTGAATTTAGTGGAGAAGATTTGAAAGCACAATGTTGAGAATTCTTTACTTATTTCTGTAGTTTTCAGAGCATGAAGAAGAACTTATGCAGTTCTAGGATCACTTAGATGACTGAAGCCAACACGAAGGAGAATGGTGAATAAGACCGTTTTGAGACTCCAATTCAGATTCGCTTTATTCACACATGGTTGCTGTCAGGGATATTTTCTGATCTTATTGTGAGAGTTTTCTTTTCTAAAAAGTAACATTCATATTTTCCGATCCTGTGGATCTCGCGAGAATTTTGAAAAAAAATTTTCTTTTTTAATCAGTCAAACTACATGCATTCATAGAGTAAAGGGTGCTGATTCAGTATACCACTATAAGAACTCACCAAATTCACTTGTTTGAATTGTACCTTAAACCACTTTATGAGCCCTAAAAGCTTATTTCTAAATCCGGTGGTTATTTGGAGGAATGAAACGTGAATTCGAGAGAAAATTGGTGATTGCGGGGCCAAAAACGCTTACTTTTGTCAGATGGGCTCAAGTTTATCCAATTTTATCTGGAAGCATATGGTATCACAACGTCAAACTCGTCCAGAGCAGTAATTTTTTGAGTTCTCTCCAGTAACATTCAAAAATATCGAAGAAGAGGTATGCAACCAAGAGAGAAGCAGCTGCCTTTGGTGACTTTATTGGCTTTCAAAGTTATGAAAGTCATGAGAAAGTGAAAAAATCCACAAGAAAAAGTCAAAAAAAATTACATGTTTCTCAAAATCTATGGAAAATCAATGCCGTTCTCTCTCATAAATAACGTTGCAACCTATCAAAATGTAACAATTGGGTGTACTTTTACGAACAAATAGTCTTTTTCGTTGCTCTAATGTCTTGAATATGACGGATAACCGTCAAGTCGTTAGATTTAAGCAGTAAAAGAGATATTTGATTCTATCTTTGTTGTTCATCAAAGCCGTTGAGTAACAAAACGGCCTTTCTATTAGCTGAGTTGCGACAGGTTTCATTTCTTCTCATGTGTCACACTTGTATAGAAATGATAAAGACAAGTAAACGACCATGATCGTTGCAAGTTCTAAGTTAGATGGAAACGACACAGACACTTAGTTTTCATGAATACGTGTGATACAAAAGAGTTGGTTCAACCGATCAGACACTGGTGGTAAAAAGAGTGCAGGTGTTTTGAAAGTTTTTTGACTGACTGTAGATTACATTTTATGGTCCTCACTTAGTCTCGCCAGGTACATTAGTAGATAACCCAGGTAATTCAAAGAATGTGCAAATAAACCAGACTCTTTTAGGAACACTTTGAGAGTTCGGAGGTAGATTTTTCCAGGAACTCCAACCGGAAAAGCTCACTTGATAGATTAAATTTTGAATCTTCGAAATTTAGTCTGTCCGGTGATGTTTTCACGGTTTATCTTCCGTCAGAACTCTACCTTCGATCTCTTAGAGGGCTGCCATCTGCGATCGCTCAGAAACGTATGATTTATAGTACGCTTACACACTGAGTAAGGATCCGATAAGTTTTGGTGCGGGCATGTTTTGGGACACGCAAATGTTAGTTAGTTTGGCTTGCAACACACAACCTACTCCACTGGAGTTGCGAGCTTAGATGCTGCTTGGTAGGTTTAGTCGGCACCCAAAGATCTAACCGGAGTCCGTTATCGTCAGATAGAGCTCGAGACTGTGATCACGAATGGAAACAGTACTAATCATGTGAGTTTTGCTTAGAAGTAGTCTTTTTTCAAGTAAGTCTGACGTTTTTATCCCGTTCTTTGATGGGTTTGCTCGGAAATAGAACCGCTGCATGGCACATAGGATTCTAAAAATTATCCGCCTGATCGGACTTTTGACGCATGTTTTGGAGCGAATATTAACGTAAAATAGTCGAACTTACCTTACGTTGTTCTGAGAGGGTTTTTACACATTTTCACGTGACTGTCAGCTTGGGAATCGTAGCTAATTTCACCTGTTAGGATACGATCAGAGACATTTGCTTGAACTTCATTTCTTAGCCAGTACTACCGGTCTGTGAGACAAACTTCAAATACTTTTCTTCTTCCTTCTAGCAATGAGCACGACTACAACAACACCCATGTCCTGCCTTGCAACAACATGTAAGTACGAGGATGAATGCTAATGCGTGTCACAAAACAAAAGCACCGCTTTTTCCACAACTTGTTGCACACCATTTTATGGACAGGTCAATAAACAACGTGCTACCCTAAAACACATGAGTCTATCTGCAAAGATGAATTTATAGAATCTTTCTCTATTCATCGATATGAAGCATCGAACCGCATTCAGAATAAGCGTCTGTATCTCAGAGATAAATAAGATGTAGACAAAACAAAAGGCAAGGATAAAATCTTTTCCTTGAAACACACCTAGACAAATATAAGTCGTCGAGTTGATTCCAAAAATCTTCCTTTGCGTCGTTTTTCTCCGGGTTTTGGGTGAGAATCTTTCAAATACAAAGAACGTCAGAAAATGTTGGATTTTGCATAAAAACCTGAGTCAAGGGGGAAACGGCAGACTTGAAGTAGAAAAGTACGTCAAAGTACGTCAAAGTAGACTACTTGAAGTAGCTCAAAGTACCACCCAAGTAGCCCAAAGTAGGAACAAGTAGCTTAAAGTAACTTCAAGTAACTTCAGGTAAATTTGAAGTTGAAAAATACTTCAAAGTAAGCTACTTCAAGTAGCTGAAAGTAACTTGAAGTAGCTTAAAGTAGCTCAAAGTAACTTCAAGTCCAAAAGTCCGCCGTTTCCCCCTTGACCTGAGTACATGTGGATGACAGTGGTAAAGTTCATCGACAGTCTTTGCCACACTCAGATTGACGTGCTTCGTCTGGAATAACGACATCCATCAGATGAATAAACCACCGACAGCGCACGATCATAAGTAGGCTTTTTGAAAATTTTTATTGCTCCCCTGAGCGAAGCTGCCTTTAGTGACATTCTGCGAGGCCAGTATGTTACATACGATGTCACGGAGTCAAATAAGTCCTGCTACAGATGAGACTTCTACCGCACATATGGCTGACCATGACTAGCATACCTATAGAAGTTTGTAGAAAACCGCTGGTTTGGAGGTTTTTCAGCGTTTTCATTATAATACGTATTACGTATTTCGATAAAAGAAATAATATAACCATGATCGACGTGAAAACCTTCTGAAAATCTGGACACGAGGTTTATCGATGGTTCATTCTACTGATGGATGTCTTTATTCCAGACAAAGCATGTCGATCTAAGTGTGGCGAAGGCTGACGATGAAATTTTATCGTTGTTACCTAGATGTACTCAGTTTTTGATGCAAAATCTAACATTTTCCGACGTTTTTTCTATTTGAAAGATTCTCACAGAAAACCTGGAGAAAAACAACTGAAAGGAAGGTTTTCGGAGTCAACTCGACGACTTCTATTCGTCTATGTGTGTTTCAAAGAATAGGTTTTATGCTTACCTTTTGTTTTGTCTGTACGTTAATAGTGGCAATACGCATCTTAAATGATCTGACCAAAATCTCGGTACATAGAATGCTCTCTCTCTCTCTCTCATATTTAGGTACTCTAACAATTAATGCCGTTTGGAACATGACGGGCACGACGGTGCAACCGACATTCCCTCTTCTAACACCTAGAAGTATTTCGTTCGATTCAAGTGGCAATATGTACGTAGCCGATGTCCACATGTGCGCCGTAATCAAATATCCGTCCTGTGGCACTGTTTATCCAACCGTGTTTGCGGGTGTCAGCAACAGCTGCAGCGGCGGAACCTCAAACCTTAACTACCCTGAAGGTGCATTCCTCGACAGTCTTGGCAATCTATATGTTGTAAGTCTAACGAAGACGAAAGGGTACACTAGGCAGATAGAAACTATAAACTGCCACAAAAAATTAAAAAAAGCACGTAGAAGTGAGTACAGGTGGACTAACTTACTGTACGACGATGAGACTTAATCTCTCGCGGGAAATGGAAGTGTAAATCTTTCCAAACAAGACGTTGGAACCAAATAACAACATAAAAGAGAAGACACTGTAAGCTGTAAGAAATTTCATGGCTTGTCTGTTAGGTTTTGACATATGTCAAAACTTTTTGTGAAACTGTGTTTGGAATACGTAGCAATGAACAGACATTGTTTCGTTTGTGACTTCGAAGGTGTCAATGAATTCCCATAAGTCCTGGCCATTATTTCTAGTCGAAGAAGTTAAAGTCAAAAAGTTTTCGCGGACCGTGTTATCACAACTGGATAAGTACGGACTCCGCGAGTACGAGTACGTATTCATACTTGCTCAACTCTGCGTATGATATTCAGATGCCGTAAAAACTTTCGAGTTTCAACGGTTAAGGGTACCCACGCACTTATTTGTCCAAAAGTCGACTTGAAGCTAGGGTACGGCGCTTTAGTGGCTAATTCACTTGTAGCGCTAATGAGTAACGAACGCGTTTGTCGTTACCGTTGTTTGTAAAGAAATAATTTAATTGTTAATAGTAACGGTAAAGTATGAACTAAAGAAATGTGCTATATCTTGATTTTCCACAGATATCAATGAATCTCAATTTTCGATAAATAGTCATTGTTTTACTCACCTATCGAGATATCTGTGGCTTGAGGGGCGTCTCCTTGTCATTTATGATGGCAGAATGAAACTGGCCTTTTGTTTTTCAGCCGGACTTCTACAATTCACGAATTCAAAAATACAACAGCGCCGGGATTGTTACCACAGTGATCAACATCACCTCAACAGGCTATGTAGGTATCGTTTATATCTTTTAGTATCATAATAAAAAGGGTCTTTTTATATTCATCTCTTCTTTTGTTAATTAAGACAGAAGCTTCGTACAAATATTCTTGCTATAAATCAAGATTTTCACAGTATTTACCTTCCTTCAAAAACTCCACGGTCCGTCATTCAGCAAGTAATTGCGTCTGAAATTTTCGGATAGATGTGCTCTTTCAGAATACTTGAGGATGAGGATGTCCAGTATCAAAACATGACTTGAATCTATATTCAAACACCACCGATTTTCAAACGAAGACTATCAACATTCTATTTTGAAAAGTTTTCGGAGTTGGTTTTTCACCTTCTTCATCTTCATTCATGTAACTTGTCAAACAATGAGAATCTGAATGAATAGAGAATTCATTTTCCTACATCATATGAAAACGTTTGGTTTTTAAACAAACGGCCTTGTTTGACCGACTGTAGGCCTCCGCTTGACAATTTTACCACAGCTAGAGTTTCAAATTGGTCCCATGATTGTTCAGAAAAATTTTCATGAGAGAACTTCGAAATAAACTCTAGTGCATAACGACCGACCTATGAACTTTCTTTCTAGAACACTTTTCTGGAAGCAGTCTGTACATGTTTGCAACGACTAAATCGATACACTCAAATCTCACACTCTCGTAACAAGTTGTAGTGGACCATACCTGTCTTCAGCCACATGAACGCGAAAAACTGCACAGCTTATTGTTTTGTATTTCCTCTAAAAGTGCATTAGTTTGATTTCAGATAGAAAACTAGGGTCCCTAATCATTGTCGTAAGAACGTACCTTCGTCTCTTCCTCATCATCAACTCTTGTCGAGCCGTTCGAATCTGCTCATATAAAACTCGGCGTTCATATGATTGCCATTATGAACGCTTCATTAGTTCTACGCTACTACCAAATTCTAATCGAACTTCTGTGAGTATCCTTGTTATAAGTCGTCGGTTGCAAGTACCGTCATGGTCAGACTGGCATATCTTATCATCTCTATCCTACCAATAAACTGTGGTCGAACTTCTATCAACTGTTCCGAGAAAATCGTTCCCGGGATCATCTTCGCGACCAAGAGTCTTTCCAACACTTGGAACACATACATTCAGACGCTCCTATCGAGTCGAGAAAAGGATTGAAGTGAAGGGAACCATAGCGGTTCTGATGGTATGCTTCTTTCGTTCGTGTCATACATCATCTTGACGGAGAACATGTGACTGGAGATCAAGAATAATAACAAAAGGCTTGAATTTATTTGGATATAAACGCGTTTTGAGAATTCAATAAAGCTATGCAACCTTGAAAATAGAAAAAGTGGGAAAAGAATAAGATTTTAAGTAGAAGTCCTATATGAACAGCCAACAACTGTAAATTTAGTCCATAGAAAATTCTCTCTAGTGTAGAGCAATCGAATACATTCTGAAGTGACGTGGGACTTCAATGTATCGGGTTTGAAAAAATTATATTTCACGCTATGCAGAACAGCACGTGGTTTAGAGCTCTCTTTGTACGAGCTTACAGTCTAGCTAAGACAAATTCTTCACGAAAAGTTCTTACTTTTAGCAGTTGAAAAGTTGTGTGTCTGCTCCCAACCAACAGTAAACCTAAAACTTCGATACATGGTATCTTAGCTGATTTCAGTTGAATTAGATTTCAGATTATGGAAATAATAATGGCTACTATCGTGTATGGCCAACTAGCTCTGTATCAATCAATGAAGTGCCCTAGTCTTTTTTCTCTTTTAGCCATCCTATATCTACGTCACACACGACACAACTGGACCAGTTATGTACATAGCCGATCAGCAGTATGCAGTCATTAGACGCTGTGTTGAGAGCACAGGCATTTGCACGATTGTTGCACAAAGTAAGTCAGAAAAAATCATCTGTCATTCCTTCTCACCATATCAGCTGGATCGATTTTATTATTCGTAGCATCAAACCATAAGTAAATCAACAGTCTTCCTCACTTTCCAAGTACACTAAAAATTTTCCATAGTTTAAAGAACGGAGAATGGGTTGCAGCATTTAACGCCAACAAAGACCATTTTTCCGTTCTCTAAGCTAAAAAAATTCTTTACAATGTGGGAAACCATATTCATCAAATTAAGATATTGCCAAAAATTTCTTCATTGATTTTTTTAAAAGTTTCTGTTGTTAACAAAATTCCTGGAATGACGTCGAAAACTAGAGCTCATCAAACTATATCGGTCTACACACGGCGTCGATGACCGTCTTATTAACTGTAAGTTTCTTGCAAGACAGTATACAAACAAATGTACATTGTTTACGTCCTTCTGTATATTATTAGGCATGACCCAAACCCAAACCGTTTAGGTTTGGTGAGTTTGGGTTTGGGTATGGGTCAGATATCGAAACTCATGAAACCGCTATAGCTTAGGTA